GGTTGTGAAATTGAGATAATCAAGGAATAAAGAGAGAGACCGAAGGTTGATGGGTTGTCCACAGCACATTGCAGCCACTTAGAAGGGGGAGAAAGATTGGGTCAGTCACCACTGGAAGAGGATGGAAGAGGTCTCAAGTAAAGAAAGGACTTTACACTGAGGTGGAGGAGTAACAGTCTAGAAGTGGCACTGAGGAGCTACGTGAATGCCCACCTGACTGACCACAAGGTACACAGGTTGTGAAAGAATGAGAAACCTACAATGAAGAGGGTTGCCAGATACTGGTGTCCTCGGGGTTGCGATGTCCTCAGGGAAGAATGAGGTTTCCATTAGGGCTAAGAGGTAAGCAAGTTCTATGAATAGGTAGAGGATATAGGCCAGCAATTTTCAAACTTTAATGTTGCATACAAGCCACTGAGGCTTTTAATAAACTGCAGATTCTGATCCAGGATCAGAATGGGTTGGGGATTGAAGAATCTGCATTTCTAACAAGCTCTCAGGTGATGTTAATGTTGTTGATCTAAAGACTACGCTCTTGTACTCTGAATGGCAAAGATGTAGGCAATTTTGTTTATCATGGTACAGGGGTTTCAGAGGGCACAGTGGAAATGTTATTGAAGGAAGGTAGCTACAGAAAAATGAATCCATGGAGGATAGTGCTGAATAGGGATGAGTGTACATGGAAGAAGAGGTGACTGGAAAGATGGTAAAAGAGTGAATTAGCTGTTGTCATTTTTGGCATCGTTTCAGATCTGACTTTGTGGTATCTTGACTTTGGCGCTTGATATGGTGGTGTTCAAGTACAGTGTCTTTGACCAGGCCTTGTGGGTTTCCAGGGGAGGGGGAGTCTCTGATGGCTATGTTGGCACAGAGGGCAGGCACATGGAAGAGGAAGGAGACTAGGATGATTTCCAGGTGTTTAGGAAATGTGATAGGAAGACAGTGATAAGTGAGGCCATGGGAATAAGTGAGACCACTCGTTGATAATGTGGATGTAATGTGTAGAAGGACAACAGAAGATGGTCCAAGATGAAACCTCAGAGACAGGCCAAGAATTTAAGGTAAGGTGAGTGAGAAAGAAGAGTTACAGAGGTAGGATATAATGGTGACAGAGCAGCCAGAGGACAGGGTTACAAGAAGGGACAGGTCAACATTATCAAGAAAAATGACAATTCAAGTGTTACTAAGAGATAACATTATTATTTTTCTGTATATCTGTTTAGGAAATCTAAGGTAATCAACCAAAAAACAATTCTAATGAACAATTGTTCAGTAAGGTAGCCAATTTCAAAATAAACATGCAGAAAGCCACGGACTTCTTATCAAACAATAATAACCAATTAGAAGACATTATGGAACAGAAAACCCTATTCGCAGCAAAACAAAACAAAACATTAAAAAAAAAAAACTCCTTACTATAACCACAAGACTCTACGTGAACTGTCCCCTGCTTCCTCATGTTTCATGTCTTATTATTCTTGTTTTTATTGAAGTACAATTCACATAACATAAAATTGACTTTAAAAAAAAATATGAAACGCTTCACGAATTTGCGTGTCATCCTTGTGCAGGGGCCATGCTAATCTTCTCTGTATCGTTTTAATTTTAGTATATGTGCTGCCGAAGCGAGCACAAAATTGGCTATTTTAAAGTGAACAATTCACTAGCGTTTAATACATTCACAATGCTGTACAACCACCACATCTATCTAGTTCCCAAATCTCATCAACCCAAAAAGAAACCCATTAAACAACAGCCCCATTTCCCCTCCCCTCAGCCCTTGGTAACCACTATTCTATTTTCTGTCTCTATGAATTTGACTATTCTAAGACCTCAGATAAGTAGAATCATACAATATTTGTCCTTTTGTGGCTGGTTTCTTTCACTATCGTGATATTTTCAAGATTCATCCATGTGGCCACATGTATCAGAACTTTGTTCCTTTTAATGGCTGAGCAATAGTCCATTATATGGATATTCCACATTTTATTTATCTAATCATCAGCTGATGAACATTTGGGTTGTTTTCACCTTTTAGGTATTTTGAATAGTTTATTATTCCTCCTCTGTTCACTAACTCTCAGCTCTCTTGCCCTCTTCACATAGTTCAAACTGCCTCAGGACTATTACATCTGTTATTCCTCTGCCTGAAATGCTCTTCTCCCAGATTCTTCATGGCTCTCTCATTCTTATCCTTGCAGCTTAATTGTCACATTCTCAGAGAAGCCTTCCCTACTCACTACATTTAAAGTAGCTGAACCCTCAGTCACTTTTTATCTCATTATCTTATTTTGTTGTCTTCATAGTACCTATCACTAACTGAAATGAAGTAATGTCTTGAGCAGGGGTTGTTTTGTGCCTTTGGCCCCTTTAGCAATCTATTGAGATCTATGAGTTCATTCTCAGAATAACATTTTTAAATGCCTAAAATACACCAGTTATACCAAAAATATAGTTAATGCCAAAATATTTTTAAATTGTGATTTAGTAATCCATGTTCTTCTCTATTAATTCCTGAAATGACAATATCTATATATAGGCCTAATAACTATCATAATTTAGAAGATGTGATGAGTATAAATGCTATTTTGAGATATTTGCAACAACTATAATAGGAAATAAAAATGTTGGTGATTTCTATTGGTTATGCAGTCTCGGGTACTGCTAAAATTACTGTAGATTGTTACTTATGTTTATACCTGAAGAAAATGTTAAACTTTAGTTAGAATTTAGTGAAAAAAGATGTATTTTTTCCCTGTCCAAGTTCATGGATGCAATGAGTTCTATCTACAGACCACTTGGAGGTCTGTTGACCCCAGGTTAAGTAGAAGATAAGCAGTAGTGTTGAGGAGAGGTAGAGTATGTTGGAACTGGGTTTTGTATGAGAGGGAAGAGCTCACACACAGTAAGCCAGGGAATAACAAGCTAGAAGTTCCCAATCTACCCCACCATGGAACTTGGGTGTGAAAGATGTAGCAATTTCCAGATGATAAAGATATGAAGGGAGCAGCGCCTTTGGAGGAGAGTCGGGTATCACTTAGAGGAAGCATTTTGTGAGGAGGTAGCCTATGAGAGTAAGGGATTTTGTTTTCCCTGGAGTAGAGTCCAGTGAACTCAACAGAGTGAGGTAGAAGAGACGGCTGCTGTGGGAAGATGAGCCATTGGGAGTGGGGATGGCAACGTTACTATATTCCAGATACCATGCTGGACACTGAAGATACAAAGGTGAATAAAACAAAGATGAATCATCCATTTAGGATTAGTCTAAACCAAATCGTTTTGGTTGATTGGCTGGTTTGGCTGGTCTGATTCGTGCACCTCTTCAGAGACCCTAAGAGCCAGAGGCAGCAGCAGAAAGATAAGTCTGAGCAGGGTATCACTAGAGACTCAGGGGGAATAAAAGCTAAAAATGTTCTATTTTCTTTCCTCCTTTGATCCCTTTTGTAGAGCAAAATACTGAAGTAAAAATTATGTAATGGAGAAAAAAAATGAAGCAATGCCATGATTAGATCACTCAAAACAGCCAGTCATACGAAAATTAATATAAAAAGTGTAAGGGATGGATCCCTCCACCCTCACTCCTAATTTTTCAGGAACCTTCTAAGGATCTCTGCAACCAAGAGATTCTTTGATGCTATTACCATTCAGAACAATGTTTGGCTCAGAAAATCAAAAGAAGAAAGAAAGGACTATATTTTTAGACTTTTCTCTGTGGCTCCAGAGGTACCTTGCACCTGGATCTCTCCTATGTATGTAGCTCCCAGAATCTAGGATTCTGTGATTTTTTTTTTTAAGCTATTTTCCCTTTTCTACTAGAGGGATTTTTCAAAAAGGCTCAGGTTGAGGGCTGCTGCAGGTAAGAGGCATTGGCTGGGTGCCACTTCTCCTTTGATCATGTTCCCTTCTGGCAGTGACATCTGCAAATTCACTGACCTGGGTAGGATATTGAACCTCTTCTAGCCCAAAAGGAGGAAGCCCCAGGTGGAGAGGCAGCAGACAGACAGGGAGATGAGAACAGAGGCAGGGCTGAAGTAAAGCTGACCTAGTTAGAGCAGAAAGAGGCTTCAGGGGTGGCAGGAATGGCCTTGAAGAGAAGTGAGATGCTTCCCAGGATAGAGAAGAGCAGAGGACTGACTTGTTTAAGAAGCCCTGACAAAACCTAAAGGCTGCAAAGTGGGGCTATGTGTGGAGACTCAGTGAGCGCAAGCGTGCGTGTGCATCTATCTGTGAAGGCTGTTGTAGGGGGAATATCTTTATCAAATTTTGCGCAAATACTTATATTTTAAAGTCACAATCTTGGAGGAAATGAGAACCAGAAAAATATATGGACCTTAAGGGAGCCAAGTGGGAGCACCACTGAACTTTGCAAGACTTAGCAGAACCCAGAGCATTCTGACAGGATTCCCCAGCAATGGGTCAAGGAGTGGTCCTGGCCACCACCAGGCTGGAGGGAGGCACAGGAAGCAAAGACTTGGGTCCAGCTTGAAGGATCATCAACTCATCCACAGATACTACTAGTGGGTTTCATACTGCATCGGGGCCCCCTGGGGATAAAAAAGTGCCCTTCACAGTCCCTGCCCTTCAGGAGGATGCAGTCTATTTGAGGAAACACTAATCCTTATGAAACAACAGTAAGAGATCCAATAGCATAAGTATTTTTTATGCTCCTAGATCACAGAAGGAATTATGGCATAACTGGAGAAAGTTGTAGGGAGGGGGTGGACATTCGACTGGGCCCTGAGGTCTGGGAGGGCAGGATTGGGATGAGGAGAGAAATGGACATTTCAGGGCGAAGGCACACCAATGGGCATAAGTTTAGCTCATGTGGGGACCAAAGAGTTGACCAGTCTGATGGGATTGGAGGCCCACTGAGGGGAGATGGAGAAATCCAGCTGGATGGGGACAGTTAGATTATCTAGAACATTGTAAACTTCTACAAGGGACTTTATCAAAATCCCCATTTCGAAGTGGTTCAGCCATTTCCTTACTCTCCCCTTTAGCTACAAGCCCATCGTAGAATTCATTGATGCCCAATTTGAGGCCTACCTGCAGGAGGAGCTGAAGATCCGCAGGGTACTGCACACCTACCACGACTCCCGCATCCATGCCTGCTTGTACTTCATCGCCCCCACGGGTCATTCTCTGAAGTCTCTGGACCTAGTGACAATGAAGAAGTTAGACAGTAAGGTATGGAGGCAGGGGCAAGGGCAGCGGAGAGGCTGGGCAAACTGGATCACTCTAACTGGTCTTTTGTGCAAAGTAGAGGCCAGATTCCAGAAGGTTTTATGGCCTCTTCATCCTCTCCTTTATTCCTCCTCCCTCCAGAAAGATAGTGCTATTGATCCAGCACCTGTGTCAAATGCTTTGTTTTCCCAGCTCTGAGCCATCTCTCTGCCTTGATCCCTCTTGGGAATAAGGGTGGATGTAAACAAGAAGGCTGTCTAGGTCTAGGGGCTCAGGCTTTGATAATTGAAAGGTGTTTTTTCTTTGTCTCAATGTTAACTGGCCTGTGCTAAAATCAAACATGCAAATTTGATGTAGAAAGTTTTATTTTTATTATTAATACTGATTTTTATAATCTCAGCTAACATTTGTTAAACTCTCATATGCTCCCACTGTGCACAGAGCATCTCATTGAATCCTCACCACAACCCTATGAGTCAAATATTATCATTATCTCCCATTTTACAGAGGAGAAAACCAAGGCTCTGAGAGGTTAAGTGACTTGCCCATTGCCATATAGTTGGCTATTGGCAGAGTCTAGATTCAAATTCAGGTATGTAGCACCATGTTCTATTACCTCCATACCTGAGAAAGATGGCTGTGTGAATCAGGCATGTTCTACTTTAAGAGAAACTGAAAAATGTAAATCTCACTTCAGATGTAAATTAGACAGTGATTCTTCATGTGAAAGGATTATTTATTGTACAAAAGAATTGACTGTGGAATTATTTAAAAAACCTAATTACTAGTATATTTTCCCCCTAATATTTTGTAGGCGCTTAGCACTTTGATGAGCACTTTATATACATTATTTTATTTTATCTTTCTAATTATCAAGTATATTGGATACTATTATTATTTACATTTTACCCTTGAAAAAACTGAGGCACAGAGAGTCAAAAATCTTGCTCAATGTTAAACAACTTGTATTGGGCCTAGGATTCAGACTGAGCTCTCTCAGACTCCAAGGTATTTTTTTTTTTACAAAAATCTAATTTATATGCTATTATTTAGTAGCACATCCACTATTTAAAAACTAAATTTCAGCTACAATCAAAATAGGAGCAATTTTTCATTATTTGCAGCAAATAGGTTACCGCCCGTGAGTAACAGACTGCTCTGGAAATTTCGCCACACCCTGCATGCCCTGTATAGGGCAGCAGAGAGCCATTTGGCTAGTGGCCCAGTGAGTGGGCAGGTTAAGTAAGCAGCCTCTGGCATATGTTTATAGTGTGCCGATGGAGACGTGAAGAAAAAGGACAAGGAGAATTGGCTCTGCCTGCTGTTCCACCTTGGCAAGGGCTTTGGCCTGCCTCTTTCCCAAAAAAGACTGCAAGGGAGGTGCCTCCAAGGTCCAATCTTCCCTTGACCTAGCATCTGAAGCTCTGTGTGGTATCAGCCTTTAGAGGCACTCCTAAGGCAAAACGCAAAGGAGGCAGAATTTGTCTTCCAAGTCTAGAGCTTCCAGATGCCCCTTCAGAGATTAGGGCTCCATTAGAAGCTGCTGGCAGGAATGACTGTGCTCTCTGTGTGAACCTGAGCTTGGAAGTTTTCTGTCTCACTAAGCCACGTGCATTTCACGTTTCTTTACCTTCTGGCAGTGAAAGCCTTGTCCCTTCTTGTAGGAATTTCAAAGATTAGGGTTCAGGTGGCTTGAATTTGGGGGCAGCATTAAGCCCTTCTCCTGCTGCCTGAAACTGGGCATTTATACCTGCTTTCTTTATGCAGAAATTAACCATGAGACTCTGGCAGTATCTCTTTTTGCACATATCTCAGATTAAATTGGTAACTGAGATCTTCACCTAACAGAGTTGGTTAATCAATGTTTGCTACCAAAAAGAGAGCCAGGTGTACATCTTCACTGAGTTCCACCTTGCCTCTCCTTCCTGCTATTGCACATGTGGGTATCCACCACACTGGGTATGGCTAGCTTACACTGGATGAATTGGGGCATTTTACTGTTAGCAAGGAGTAGTCACCTCTCTCCTTGTCAACCACAGATTTCCAACTGTCATCTTTTTGCTTCACATCATCGGAGCAGTGACTTTGATATTAAGATATCACACAGCTCATCAATTTGGATCTGAGCTGGTAGACAGCTCATGGTTAAGACTATGGACTTAGAATAAGGCTGAACTTGGATCTGGATCCCAGTTCTGCTACATACCTGCTCTGTAGTCTTGGACAAGTTATTCAATATCTCTATGCCTTAATTTCTCATTGGTTAAATATGGTAATGATACCTCCTGAAAAGGTTATTGTCAGGACTAATTATGTTAATCCGTGTAAAGCTCTTACTTCAGTGCCTAGCACTTCATAAACACTCATTGTCATTTATTATTGTTGTTATTTGGTCCAGAGGTGGCCGGTCCAAGACCATTGGGTTGAGCTGCTCCCTCCAGCAACCAGTGGGAAGTTCTAGGCCGTACTGCTATCAGTTACAGATTATCAACAATAATCTCACTTTGCTCCTCCCTTTTCTAGGTGAACATCATCCCCATCATTGCCAAATCAGATGCCATTTCTAAGAGTGAGCTAACAAAATTCAAAATCAAAATTACTAGCGAGCTTGTCAGCAATGGGGTCCAGATCTACCAGTTCCCTACAGATGATGAGTCGGTGGCAGAGATCAATGGAACGATGAACGTGAGTGGGAGCACAAGGGTTCAACTTGCTGGCCATTTGCTTATTATTATTATTTCACCAAAGTATTATTATTTTATTATTATTATTATTGTTATTATTATTATTACTATTATTATTATTATTATTATTATTATTATTTCACCAAACAGTAGTCAAACATCTTCACTATCAAGAGCTGTAGTCAGCTCTTGGTTATCTGAGTCTCAGGTATTTGTGAGAGAGAATCCAGGACCAAACAGTTCCTCTCTCCTAGTGGTGGCTGCTTCAAAGTCTCAGAGATACAGAGATTATTAGCCAGAGACTGAAGGAGGGAAAGGCTAACTCCAGGAAGAGTCTAGAGCAGAGAATTCAGAATTCCCCTTCTACCCTCCTCTTTGACGCTCTCAGCCCCCAGGGAACTGCTGGAAAGGGAAACATGCTTTGTTTCTGACCAAAACAATGCTATGACAATTGATGCGGTGAAAGAAGAAAAGGCTAAAAAAATTGGCTGGCTTTGGAGATTCAAGGATAATCTATACTCAGATAATCAAGCCCTCTGCCTCTGGGAGAAAAATATGATATATAGCCTCCAATTTTTCTGGTGACTGGAGAAATGTTATTTTTAAATTTCAGGGTTGTACTTTGGTTTATTAAGTGTGAATGAATTTTTTAAAAACCAACTTGCCATCTTGCCTCTCCTCCCACTCTCCCCCCCAACTAGAGGAATGAGTAACTAAGAAGGCAGAGAGTCAAACATCTCCTCATGCTTCTTTACAATGTGTTGATGCTGTTGCTGCGGAATCTTCAATGTTGTGATTTCAAGGAGACAGCTAATAGCTTTCAGAAAGCCTCTGCTTTGGGAACAGATTCCTTTTTCTCTATTGAGAGGCATCAGTTTTTCCTAATGACATAATGCCTGGGTATAGCCAAACTCAGGAAAGCCTTGTAATAAAAGCCATTTTTAGAAAACTTTCCTGCCACTGCTGTCCCATAAGTTATCATTACAGGATCAGCTTCCACCTCCTATGAATTGGCCAACAAATTAGCAAGTCGTTGTCTTGCCTGACTTCTTGCCCATCAGTACACCCAAGATATGTTTGTTATTAGAAGTCCCTCATCTTTAACAAATCTGGCCCCAAAATAAGGCTATGTGGATGGTGGTAGGTGAAGTTATATCTCTGACCATTCATGAGCACTAAAATTTTTTTTAAAAAGATTAGTGCTTATCCTTTCAAGTAGTTAAGGCATTTGAATGGAAACCAGGTTCAGTCACAGTGAGAAAACCTGAAAGAGTGCCTAGTCTGCAGAAAAATGGGAGCCTTGAGAGCATTGTCATCTGGTATCACCAGCACGGATGTCTGGAAGCGCCTGTCACCTCAGAACATCGAGCCCTGTAGGTACCTTCAAACTTGGGTTCCCTAAGTCACCAGGCAACTTTTAGGGCTTATAGTTCACTTCGCTAAGAATAAAGAGGGACGAAGAGTTCTCAGCAATCTCATGGTGTCACACAAAACTACATCTCACTACATTGTGGATCAGGAATGACAATCATTTTGGCCTCTCCTCTCAGCTCAGCTCTGTCCTATTTGAACCTAAGGTAGGGGTGGCTTCAAGATTGGAAACTTCCCGTGCTCTGAAGCGGCACTTCTCAACAACACCGTTTTGGCTGCGAAGGGGTTCTGGGCCCTTTCTTACAACAGTCCAAAGTTTTCCACTATTTCACTTTGAAAAACTAATTTTTTCCCGTTTTTAAATTAAAGAATAGTTGACATACAATATTATATTAGTTTCAATATTATATTAGGTGTACAATATAGTGATTTGACATTGATATTGCTTGTGATGTGACCACCTGATAAGTGTAGTAACCATCTGTCACTGTACGAAGTTATTGCAATAATCTTATTTTTCTTATACTGTACATTACATCACCATGACTTATTATTTTTTTTATAACTGGAGGTCTAATGGATTTAGGGCTATCCCTATGAAAACATCACTCAGCACTCATTACCTGGCATTCCACCATGCTTTTCTGAGTAGGAAAGAGAAGGGTGGCCTCCCAGCTAGTGTGTTTGGAACTGGGCATATGCCCGTGGGAGGGGGGCATGCCTGTGAATGTTATGTGTTGTGTGTTATGATGAGAGACAGAGTGGGGAGTCACTGCTATAAAATATATACATGAACCAAGAACCACAATGGCATAGATAGAGGCTCTGTTTACCCCTATGGCGACCAATTCAAAGTTGGGACGGAAACAAGGAGCAGCAGCAAGGAAAAATTGCCTGAGATCTTGAGGAACAAGCCATACAACTAGGGAGAAATCCAAGAAAGTACCCTGCAACGGCAGAAGGTAGGATAGGGCAAGGACGCGAGGCTGCCCGGGTCTCGAGCGGCTGAGTGAGACGGAGGCTGCAACAGCGGCAGAAGCCTCTTATAAGGGGCTGCGTCTGCGAGCAGATTTTCGCGGTGACGGACCTGCTCCGCTCGCTCTGAGCACCGGTGCCAATTCAGCTGCGCACAGGGGACACTAGGGACTTACAGGGAGATATTGTTGGAGTGAGGGTCAAGGGGAGATTCGCTCTGTACAGAAGTGCCGGCGGTATCCATCGTTCCCTGTTGAGCCCTCCCTTTCCCAGTGCGCAGACACAGAGCCACCATTACCTTGAGGTCATCAGACTGGATAACAGAGGTCGCTCTGCCCAGAGGATTCCCTGAAACCCTGTGGCCCCAGCCAAGCCACATTCAGGTTTATCCTCAGCGAGTCAGGTGCTCCTTGCTGAGCAGCGCCTAGGCTCACACTGGAGGCAGCTAGCCTCGATTTCTGGTGTGGCTTTTTGAGGCAATTGTAAGCACAGCATCTGCGGGTTGCTTGCTGAATCTTAACAGGTGGCCCTGGAGGGGCAGAGACTTGAGCTAAATTTGGCCTGTAGCTGAGCCCCTCTCAGTATTGTGCCACTGGACACCTACTTCACAAATCCACTCTAATAAGACCGGGAGACTTAGGAGCTTTCCTTAGTGCATAGAAATAGACACAGAAAGGCAGCTAAAATGGGAAGACAAAGAAACAGAGAGAATTTCAGATAAAAAAAAAAACATAAAAATGGAAATGGAAATTATAAAAGGGAACCAGTCTGAAATTAAGAACACATTATCTGAGATGAGAAGTATAGTATATGGAAT